TGGAGCCGCCAGCGACGGCAGCGAATCTCATCCCCCCCTGGACGCTGGACACGGGCCAGCGACCCAAGAAACAAATCAGCGAATCAAGCGTTGTCGTCCTCTTTCGTGACTTGGACAAGCCTGACATGGACAAGCGTCGCGCATAGCGAATAGCTCCTCACGGGCCAGGGACCATGGCCCTTGGGGACATATGCAGCTGCGTGGCTGCATGGCCACCTTGGGCTTAACCGAAGACGGTATTCGGTGGTCGTAACCCGGATGGACCTCTGCAAAGTCGGGCCGCGTCGTCGCATCTTTTGACTTTGTGGAGTTTTCGTATGCAGTTACGAGGTACACTGGTACTTTCACGGGTTCTTGAGACTTGTAATCGAGATTCCTCCACGAGTACTTGGTGCTCGGTACGAGACGGCGGGAAAATGTGCGGATGATCCGTGGGCGTGGGCGTGGGGATGGTCATGGTCAAGGCCATTGGCATCTTTTTCCCCTTCTGAAATCATCCAGCATTGACTGACTGACTGACTGACGGATTGACGGGTTGCAGTTCTATTCTATTCCATTCTATTTCGTGATCCATAGTCCCATGCTCCATGCTTCCCAGTTTTGGTAACGGACAAGTAGGTACAAGTACACGGTACGAGTGCTTGTAAGCAAAGCTTTGCGGAGCTCGGGTTTTCCGCATGTGCACAAGTAGGGGCTCCCTAGCTCCTCAAAACCAAGAACAAAAGCCAGGCTGGAGCCTGATCTCTCTGGAGCCTTGCAAGCGAGAGTGTGAGTGTGAGAGCGAAACGCGCACAGCAGCTAAGTTTGCCACACAAAAAAAAAAAGGTGCACGGGGGTGGTTGGTCATTCATGCTAAATGCTCCTACTACACTTCAGAAACCTCATGGTGCATGCGCGTCGACCTTCATTGATGGCATGAATGATACTGTGTCAGACTTAGCGGGATGTACATGGACTTGTGGAAGCTCCTACTCCTATCCCTCCAGGGGCCAGGGGACCCATCCACCTCCGACGGTCGGGCCGGTACGCGGTGACGCACGGTCGGAAAGGATCAACTCGTCGTCCGCTCGTAATAACAAACAGCTGGATATAGACAGGCCCAAGGTCGACGTCCGAGTCCTGCCTGGACAAGTAAGTGGGTAGGTGGGTGTGGTGCGTGAGCATCTCTACTCGTAGGCGTGAGGACTAATCAACGCGCATCGGGTTGAAGTCTCTCTCTTGCCCTGCTTGTTGCGTATCTGCAAAGCGACAGGGGACTTCGATACAATCCGCAACGTGGCGTGTTAGTCCTCAAGAAGCCTGATCGCTGTCGGAGTCATGATGTTTGTAAGCCTTGCAGCTCACTGGGCCTTCTGTAGACCTAGCGTGGTCGCTCATATCGTGAGATATCCCTTTTCAGGGGCTTGTGGACCCACGGCTCAATCGACCGATGCAGATGGTGAAGTACCTACTCGTAGGCAGGCGGCCCCTCCACTTGATAGTTCCTCAAATGCCGTTGATGATCGGTGATGTGCTTTATCAGAGTGCATTGGGTTTTTGGATGTTGAGGCCTGGGCAGTGAGATACTCCATATGTCAAGGCACGACATAAACCAGACAGTATACTCCATGCAGATCGACAAGGTTGTATTGATTTCTTCGCCACTCCACGTTGTGATTTGAGAACGAAGGCCCAGGGCTGGACGAATGAGGCGGGATGGCGGCATTGAAGTCCGAGTAAGTCGCTTCCCGGGTGCCATTAGCATATCAGGTTTCGAGCACTTTGCTGCTTCCTGGCGTATGCTTATCATTGTACCTTGGTCAACCTGAGCCTGCTTCACACGGTCAATGGTTTGCGATGCGCACGTACAATGGGCAACTTCTGGATAAACTCGGACCCAGACGCAGTGCAGCAACAGTAACTCGTTTGCTCGTTGATCAGACTGAGACTACAAGCAATATCAAGCAACAAGTTCCAAGCGGGCAGGTATAGGGAGTCTGATTTTTGCATATCTGAGCTCACGCCCTGACTTACCTTACCATCCTGGGCGGAATGTTCGAGCAGGCAGCCTCATCAGGGCCACCATGTAAGACGGAGGTGCAACACTGCTCAGCAAGTCCAATGAAGCTGACCGAAGTCATGAAAAGAGGACGAACGCTGGGGTTGACGCTGACTGAGTCTTATTTGTCATAGAGGTTCGACACTATGTTATCACGTCAATGGACAGTCGCGAGTACAGTGAGAAAGGATCGTGCTCCTTTTAACCGGCCATCCAACCACCCAGGGGGCTTCTGAAGTGAGGAAGCTGTCGAGTTTGTTCCGGTTTCGATGCCTTCCTATCAAAGAGCCATGATAGAGGTTGCGTTGCTATCGCAGGGCGAGAGACCAAGGCTCGCGTCGAATGAAGTTCTTTTCAAGGCATCGGGGGATAGACACTTTGCCAATGGTGTCGATTCTAACTGGTGATCAAGGAATACAGCATTCTCATGGTGGCATCCGAATGTTTGCGTCGAGAGAAACCTTGAGAAAATCCGAAGACACCTGGCGAGATGAGGAGTGGCATAACATGACTGCGTGGTGGTGGTGATATTGGTGGTTGGAGAGATGTTGAGGACTGGAAATCCATCCTGAAGCGCCTTTCACGCGCACGTGATATCGCTGCAATTGTGATCTCTAGGCTGAGAACGAGTGACGCGAGCGCAGCCTGAATGCGACAGAAGGGCAGGGAAAGTGGCGGCTTCTGAACGGGAAAGTTGTCATCAAGGCAAGGGCTGGTTTGTTACGATTGGTGCTCGTCTACAAAGTGCTTGACAGTTTGACGATGGCCCAGTGAGTTACAGATCTCGTTCAACACTAGGGGCAGAAGCGCATCCTGAACCCTCTCTTGCTACGTTGCAAAGTACCGAGTACAGACTCGCGAAATGATCACATCGTGACGGAACGGGGAGGAAAAGATACTTGAATTGTTCAGTGACCAAGCATGAATACAAATCAATAAAGGGCCTTCAAAACCTCCCCGTTTGTCGCAAACAGTTCGCGTCTCTCGTTCCTGCTTGCCGTCCACGGTTGAATCACACCTCTGTGTCTCTGGTAATTTCCCCGTTGTGTAGTCTCTCTTCTGCAGGCTTGAATCAAGTGTCCAAACGCCAGGGTGTACCTCAGATGATGTCCATCAGTCAAATCAATACACTTTGTGACTCCGGTAGCGACATGTCAATACATGACTTTCGCGTCGTCGGTCTCGAGGGCGGGGAGTTTCACAAGTCGCCGAAGGTGTTTTCGCCAGAGTATCTGGATATTTGTCAGCAACGTCATGATATGAGGCTCTGCGCCGCGTTTAGTCAGGACGTACGTGATGTATAGGAAACCATCCTCATCCTTGTGCTCGTCGTAGATGCTGCTCATGAGGGCATGAGTGGGTGGGAGGACTTCGTCGACGAAAATAAAAATGGCCTTCTCTGGGCTGAGCTTGATGCGCTTGCGAATAACATAGACGAATTGGCCGACGGTCAGATCTGCGGGGACGAGGTACTTCTTCTTGTCGATGGTAGCGATGTCAGATTTCTCGACCTTTTCGCAGATAACCTGTGGACGATGTTGTCAGTCAAAAGAGGCTCAGAGACTGGCATCTGAAGGACAAGACTGAACATACCGGGATGCGGTCGGCGTACTTCTGACGAATGCGTTCGGCTTCTGCCTTGCGCTTCTCGAAAGGATGCTCGTCCTTAAACTTGGAACGCATGGTGAAGGTGTGGTGATGCTCGAGTGGTACAGGTGAGTATAGATGAAGTCTGAGGGTGTCGCAGTCTCAGAGGAAATGTTTGAGCGTTGGTGGGTGTAAAGTGTAGATGAAGACAAGAAGGGTTGGTCGGTGAGTGAGTGAGTGAGGGATAAGGATGAAGTTGTTTGAAGGTGCCAGGTGTGGCAGGCAGCACTGGGAGGGGGCGGTGATAGGCCAACTAGTTGGTTACGAGTAGGCAAGGACCCCGTGCTGCGCAGCCTGAAGACAAATGTGGGACGAGGAGTCAGGGAGGCAGGGAGTCACCCGCAGGGCAGAATGAGTGCGAGTGCCTGGCCACACCTGAGCGAATGACTGCCCCGCGTTATCTAAGCAAGCTTCGAACCCACCAAAATGACTTCGTTGTTCTCGATCACGGGATGCGCCTCAGCCTGATTAATGACTTTCCTCACCAGCCTCCGAGTTTGGCCACGAGGCTAGATCTTAATCAAAGATGAGCGAGTGAGTCACGTCATATCTTCGTTCTAAGAACAGCACAAGGAGAGAATGATCACACTTACCGAGTACCGGGTCGCATCGACCTCTTTGTGACCACTTTGTTCGAGAATTTGCTTGCATCAATAGCGCCCATCTCTGGCCAGACTTGTGCCTCTTTAGTACCCGGGACTTGGTCCGAATGCTTTGAGTTACCGGCTCCGAGAGAGAGATTTTCGGGTGAGACAAGATGAATCACAGAAAACCCAACGATATTGCCACGACGCCTCTGTCAGTCGACCACGGCTGGATTGGGTGGTAAGCAAGAGCCTTGTCATGTGACGGTGGAGAACTCGAAGCGCGTTTCTCCAGCTTCGTCTCGTGTAAAAAAGTTGAGTAGCCGTAATGCTACAGCTTCAATGACCTGACGGCGGGTACGAATATTTGATTCTCCCGGTGGTCCTGTGGCAACACATATTCAATGAAACTATTAGTCTTGCAATAAACCTGCATCTTCTCGATCTGTCGACCTACATTCTTTTTCATTGATGCCGTCTTAGAGCAGCTCAGTAAACAATTGACCATGAGTGTTTCCAGGTCTGCTTGGAGCTCTGTGCGAGCTTCTCACAGTTCGCTACTCAAAATAGGACCCCGGTCCTCTGTCAATCTTTCTCAGGTCCAAATTCGTTACTCTACGAGTTCTCCCGCAGCTGTACAGTCGCTACCGCTTCGAAGTCATCGCAGACAGAGATGGCTGTTCCTCCCGTTGTCCCTCGGGACCCTCCTTGTTGGCATGTTGGCCTACAATATGTCCTATGCGACTTCTATAGCGAACGACTCGCCCCCTATTCAGCCTGTTAATCTGGCCGAGGTAGATGAGGTGACCAAGAGCAAGCAAAAAATTACACGCAATTCCCCGATGCGACTGCGGATGGAGGCTCTCATTAAGGAACATCAAAATCGGATAGTCTTTGCGCTGGAGAATGTGGATGGTATGAAGTTCAGGCGGGATGAATGGACAAGACCAGCCGGCGGGAGCGGCATCTCGTGCGTTCTCCAGGACGGCAATGTCTTCGAGAAAGCTGGAGTCAATATCAGCGTTGTCTACGGAGAGTTATCACGCCCTGCCATCGAGAAGATGCGTTCAGATCACCAATCCTTTGTTGCTTCGGATGTCGACAAATTGAATTTCTTTGCAGCGGGAATCTCACTCGTGCTGCACCCGCATAATCCCATGGCTCCCACTGTTCACATGAACTACCGCTACTTTGAGACGTCTGATCCCAGGGACCCCGTTAATGCAACTGGGACGTCCCAGCAAAATTGGTGGTTTGGTGGAGGGACAGATTTGACGCCTTGTTATTTGTTTGAAGAAGACGCTCAACATTTCCACAAGACCGTCAAGGCCGCTTGTGACAAGCACGACAAAGATTACTACCCGAGGTTCAAAAAGTGGTGCGACTCCTATTTCAGAATTCCACATCGAAATGAAGCGCGAGGCATTGGTGGCATCTTCTTCGATGATCTCGAAGCGAGTTCGCGGCCTGGTTCGCGGAACCCGCAGGAAGAGATTTTCCAATTTGTCGTTAGCGGTCTGGAGTCATTCTTACCTTCATATCTACCCATCGTCAAAAAGAGAAAGGATATGCCCTATTTGCCCCAACAGAAACTATGGCAACAAATTCGACGAGGAAGATACGTCGAATTCAACCTCATCAACGACAGGGGCACTAGCTTTGGGCTGCGAACCCCTGGCGCTCGCGTTGAAAGCATTCTAATGAGTCTGCCACTAACAGCCCGGTGGGAATACATGCATCCTGTTGTAAGTCGAACCCAAACACAGCGTTTCAGCTTGAAGCAAAGCTCCATCTCGATACGTTCTTAGTCGAATTTCGAAGCTAACATGTAGAATAGTGTGGCACTGGCATTCCGGAAAATCCAGAGAATGCAGAAGACGCTCAGTATGAGAAAGAAAGGGAGCTAATGGAAGTCCTCAAGCAACCCAGAGAGTGGGTCTAAACGATCTGCTTTCCAAAGCCGCCAAAAATGGAGTCTATTCAGATGCTCCGATCAGACTTGACGGATTGACTGGTGGACTAGTGCTGTTGGTTGTATCGAATCCCGCCACCAAACAGTGGCAGCCTTGTCTATCAACGACTCCATTATCGTGACCCACGATAATGGTGGACATATACCCCTACACTCCGGGCAGACAATAGTCACAAACCTCTGCTTGGATCCCAATAGGACGGTCCAGAGATAACAATCTATACTCCCACTTTCAAGGGGCACGGCCCAGCCAGGGCAACGCGAACGTATCATGTTCGGATTCTTGTGGTTCCCCAGTCCCTCCGGCAACTAGAGGAAGGAGAAGCTTGTTACTGGCACAGCGCTCGTGGTGCTCTTTTATATAAAAGCAGTACTGTCGTCTGCTATCACATGCGCTGTCAACAGCTCGCTTGTCTAGGCACGGCCACTAGGTTCCCAATTAGACCCGCCTTTTCCACCCTGCGAGGCCTTTTTCCCCTGTTGCAGTTGAGGCATACCTGATAGAGCCTGGCTTATTTGCTGCTCTGCTGGTCCCCGCGCGGAGTCATGCTTGTGCATCATCTTATTGGCACCCCAGCATTGGTGCTGACGGGCCCAGATGCTTTGCCCGGTGCAGTACCCGCGCTTCAGCAGTGCAGGTTTCAGCTCGTATCGGAAGCCGAATATTCCGTTCGGGGTGTTTCTTGAGAGGGTTTGCATTCTCAGCCTCCAAATGTCGGAGTCCAAACTATACTCGGTACAGGGTCTCAGACACTCCGCGATTCCCTTTGGTAAATCAACCACGCTGACTGCACCAGCCAGGCCCTTTCGCCTCAAGCAGAATTTGTCGGTGAGAAACAGCCACATGCCTTGCTCGGAATGTCACAGTCAAGACCTCGACAATGACATGCCGCTTGGAGCTTGGACGCAGTTGATTGACTCAAGACAAAGAACAAGGACGAACTATTTCTGGTTTCCCCGCTATGTAAGCATTTCAGCCCGGATGACCGTCACTCTCCAAACAGATGCTTTTCAACCCCTGGGGCCAGTCTTAACCTTGTCCTACATACGACTTCTCCATCCCCTGGAGATGATCGAGGTGCAAACTCTTATGATGGATTACAAGGGCCATTCGTTCAGGCATCCAACAGTATCTGACCGCCTCGCTCACATTGTTCCGTCACTGCTTGCTACTGCCACGGCAGTAAGCCGCGCCGTCGCTTATCTCAAAAGCATTTCTTCCTGACTCCAGTATACTTCAGTAGCACGGGCAGGGGCCAGACGGCCGCTCCGGGTCCTTGTCTCTTCAGACTGTTCTGCTCCGCCGCAGGGCAAAGCTCATGTTGGCCCTCCTCTCCTTGCTCCTGGACGACTTTCCAATTACGAGCAGCTCGCCTAAGTAGTTCTCCCCAAAAAACCCCGTCCGTGCTTTTGACAGGCTTGCCTGTTACCTAGTTTGATGACTGCTCGTAACATCCAGAAATGGCTAGCCCAACAAGTCTAGTTGATCTTACCGCTTCGTGGGAGTTTGCAAATGGAGGCCAAAGTCTGGACCCGCCGCTTTGCTGGTCAGCTCAGTCCGTGGCAGTCGACATAAATACACTCCGTCGGGCTCGAGTGTTGTACGGGATTTTTTTCTCCTGGTTACACACTTATTTGACCAGTCTTTGACCTTGTTTCTGTCGACAATGAGGACAGGTTTGGTCTCGGCCCTTTTGGGCGCTGTGTTTGCTGAAGGCATTCTGGCTGGTCAACCAGGACCTCTTGGAAAATGGATGGGAGTAAGCCTGAGAGAGACCGGAAATATTTCACGAGATCTTTCCGCTAACACTTCTATTCCAGGGTGGTGATTGCCCGTGGGGGGATCGAACAGCTTCTGGATCACATCCCCAGAATGACATACCCGATACTGGTCCGCTTGATCTTCTTGGGGTTGATGTTTAGACAAGGCTGAATTTGATGCCAGGCGTTACACGATACTATGACTTCACCGTCTCGCGAGGGACATATGCCCCTGATGGAGTGCAGCAAGCCATGATTGTTGTCAATGGCCAATATCCAGGTCCTTTGATTGAAGCAAACTGGGGTGACTGGTATGAAAATGCCTATGACTGTTACTGAGCGGTTTCGCTGAACCTGTACAGGATCGAAGTCAATGTTCACAACGAGATTTGGGGTCCCGAAGAACCCACGTCGATACACTGGCATGGCCTGAACCAACCTGGAACTCCATACTACGACGGAGTCGTCACTGTCTCCCAATGCCCAATCGTCCCCGGTGGAAATTTGACCTACAAATTCCGTGCTGACGAGTATGGCACTTCCTGGTGGCACGCCCATTACTCTGCACAGTACTCTGCGGGCGTCAATGGGCCCATCGTCGTTCACGGTCCCAACGACGCTGGCTACGATGTTGACCTCTATCCCATCCTGGTATCGGACTGGTTCCATGACAGCTACGAGGACATTGTCAACTTGGTCATGTCGCCCAGCAGCTCCGGTCAACCCTTCCGACCGTTCTCCGACTCCAACCTCGTCGCAGGTGTCGGCCAATATCCTTGTGCCAATGTCACCAACGGTGCCCCTTGCTCCGTCGTCCCCTACGCATCATGGGAATTCGAATCCGGCAAGACATACCGGCTGCGGTTTGTCAATACTGGCGCGTCGGCGTTCGAGACCATTTCGATCGACGGACACCAGCTGACTGTCATCGCCAATGACTTTGTCCCTGTTCAGCCCTACCAAACGCAGTTTGTCACCATCGGTGTGGGTCAACGTGTCGATGTTCTGGTTACTGCCAACCAGGCCCCGGGTACCTACTGGCTGCGGGCCTTCAACTCCCCCTGCGGAGACACGAACGGACCTAATGGTCAAGGAATCATCTACTACACGGGGTCTGATCCCAGTGTCGTCCCCACAAGTACCGGTGCTCAACCTCCCATCAATTCAAACTGCCAGAACGACCCTCTGGCGAGCACGGTGCCCCAGTACGTCATGCCCGTGGCCGAAGCAGACACCACCATCACCATCACCATTGCTGGCGCCCCCGACGCCTCGGGAGTCTTCCACTGGACCATGAACGGAGTGAGCTACGACGGAGATCTCTCGAGCAGCCTGCTCTCGCAGGCGATTGCGGGACAGACGGAGTTCGCACCACAGTACAATGTGATCAACACGGGCACCAACGGCACTGTGCGGATCGTCATCATCAACACCACCCCGGCGCCGCACCCGATGCACATGCATGGGCACGACTTCCAAGTCCTGGCCGAGGGCTTCGGCACCTGGGACGGCACGGTGACGAACCCGTCGAACCCGCAGCGGCGCGACGTGCACATGCTCTGGGCGCAGGCGACGCCGGACAACCCGTCGTACATTGTGATCCAGTACACGCAGGACAACGCGGGCGTGTGGCCCCTGCACTGCCACATCGCGTGGCACCTGTCGGCGGGCATGGTGGTCATGCTGCTGGAGCACCAGGAGCAGCTCACGTCGCTGCAGGTGCCCGAGACGGTCGCGCAGACCTGCCCGGCCTACCAGACCTGGTACGCGGCCAACCCGGGTGTGGCGGTCGACGACGCTCTGCGCAAGCGCACCCTGGGCGAGAAGATGGTCGACTACATGAAGGGCGGCGTCGAGCACCTCCAGCACCTCGACAAGCACCGCAAGCGCGGCGTCCGTGGATACCGCGGCTACGGCCACAACGCCACCGTCGAGGACTTTCCCAACCACGGCAAATTCAAGGGCAACGCTACGCACCACGACGGCGATGGCTCCAGCGCCAGCCACTCGGCGAAGCACAGCGGAAGCGGTAGTGCCAGCGGCAGCGGCAGCGGCAGCAGCCACAGCGGCAAAGTCACGGCGACCCCGTCGTGGTCCACGCGGACGCAGACGACCGGCTCGGTAGGCAAGAATCTCGCCCACGAGTCCAAGAGCAGCGGCAAGCCCGAGCGGAAGAGGGATGAGGTGTAGACAGTACAGGTAGACGGGCGAGCAGGGGGCAGGGGCAGGGGCAGAGGCAGAACCAGAGTCGGCAGGGATCCCCATATTGTATCCCCCCGCGTCTGCGTCGCTGCGGTGCTTGCACACAGGAAAAAGGTTAGGATAATGAAGTACGTTATGTACCTAGCTCGCTAGATATTCTTGCTCTACACGGCTCTACTCGGCTCGACTTTGGCTCAGCCTGGTTCAGCTCGGTTTATCTCTTTCTGTCTTTGGCCCTCCTTCCTCCCTGAGTCCTACTGTACTCTCCTCAAAAGCAAGCAACAGCAAGACTGAATCTATGCGTATACGTATGTTCATGTACGTTTTCCTATTCCCGGATCGGAACATGGTACCATATGATACGATCAGATCTACATGATTCGCGCGTTACTATTAACCTGGAAACTCGAAAGTACGCTGTTCTGTTGGGAGATCTGATCCGATCTCATCTCATTTGATCCCAGCAACTCATCCTGGTAATGTCATGGTACAATAGCACACTGTTGTGATCGCGTTGAGAGTAAAGCCAAGTCATACTCCGACATAGACAATCCTCCTGCCAGCAAGCACCCCGTACATGCATGCTTGGTGCTTTGTTCAGTTTGGCCGGAGTTTTGCATTACTCTTTCTCGCCAGCAAAGCTCCGTTTCCCAGCCCATCCTTGTCCCGATTCCATTCCCACGCAACTTTCATTCTGAGTTCACTCGCTTCGATGAGTTCTTAGCGCCCTTATTGTCATCTCTCGCTCACGTTACCACCTGCGGTACCACCACCACCTCCTCCACCTCCTCCTGCTCCGCCTGCACCTCCACGACCATGACCTTCACCACCTCTTGCGTCAAAATACCTTGACCTCAAAGCCTGTCCGATTCCACTAGTGACCCTGCCTCCAAACCCTCCAAAATGCGTCGTCATCGTGGTATTCCCCATTCCACTCAACAATGCTTCTTCCAACGCCGATTGCGTAACACTCGTATCATCCAGGTCGGAAAAGGAGGATCCCATAGAAGGCGAGGTATCGGACCCTGGACCTGTGCCATGGCGGCGAGGCGAGGCTGCGGCAGATGCGGACTGAGAGTTGGTGTGGAGAAGCGCACGGTGAGGAGGAGATAAAGGTGTGCCGAGCCTCGGAATGGCAGGAGGCTGGGTTGTCGGATTACCTTGAGAAGAGTGTTGGCCATCGGTTCGAGGCGGGGGTCGAGTCGAGGTTGTGTTTGCAGCAGCGGGATAGGTAGGGGATGACGGGGATGAGGTCGAGGATAAGACGGTTGGTGGATTTCGTTGGGTCTGGACAGGAGTCGGCGGCTCGATGGTGGGAGACGAGACTATGCGTTCCGATGTCGTGCGACGCTGCATGCTGGGTCGCTGTGTTTGCAAAGCGCCGCGCAACGTTGCACCAGGATCCTGTTGGGAGGAAGATGATGGCCGAGGCTTGGTTTCGGTTGGGGGGTTGGCAAATGGGAGAAAAGATGGCTCGTCTTCTTCATCGTCTTCCTCGTCATGGGTTGGCGGATTCTGTGCAAGGCCCTTCTCGTCCAGATTACTAGTGGCACCCTTTTGGGATTGAAGCTCCTTCCTGTAGGAAAGAACGCGGCGGTGCATAGACGAGGGGTTTGGTCGTCGAGCCATAATGCGGGATTGAGTCATCTCATCTTCCGAGTCAGATGATTGGGCTTGATTGTTGCGCGTCTGACCTGGCGATCTTGCCAATGGATGCTGGATACTGCCTCTTCTAGACTGCGGAGCCTCTGCATCCTTGGAAGATTGCCTCGACAATGGTCTTGATGTTCCAGAAGCCACCCTGGTCTGTGGACCTCCGGCAGCTGCAACTGGCCCAGACGTGTTCCGGAACGGCAGTGAAGTCCTGCTCTTAGCAGGAGTTCCTGGCGTACTGTCTCCTCCTCCCGCAACAGGACTTCCAATATGTTGGGTGGACAACCGAGAAGGAACACGTGACCCTCCACTGCCAGCTCTCTTCATCGCCTGGCCACCCACCATGCTGGCCGAAGCTGATCCCGGAGCCGGGGAGGGCGTGGCAGATTGTCTGTTTCCAACTCGTCGCATCTGTGCCCGAACCTGGGACAGTTGTCGCTCGTAGAGCCATGCCGCTTGTTGGAGGAGAAAGGCTTGGGTCACCTCAAATCTCTCTGATAGTGCCTTCCAGTCGATTTCATTGTTCTTGGACTGACGAGACATGACATCCCATAGTGCTCGCTCTTTTGCTGCAGACCAAGCCACAGGAGGAGGATCGACAAAGTCACCCCGATTAAAGGGGAGCCGGACGAAGACAGTGAAGTGGTCCTCGATTTCGGCCATGGTGGTATTGTCACTTGCGGCCGATTCGTGGGTCACAGGATCAGAAACCTGGATACAGAAGATACGTTAGCTTCCTCTGTGTTTCCAAATGAGGTTGACCATGATAAAGGATGATCGTGTCTTGAGATGGACAATGATGAAGTAGGAACAGGCAAAAGATGAGGCTCAGTGTTGGGACTGTGGCGCTTGTGGCGCAGACAGACGCCACAAGCTGGTTGGTCTAGGCGCCCAGGGACCGGATATACAATTGTCCGTATATCAACATTATCACTGTCTCTATTCCTCTTCCTCTTCCTCATCTATCATGTCTCAGATGATGGCCTTTCGTGTGGTTGACTCACATTGCGCTGAAGTTCTCTCGCTTCCAAGTAAGAGGCCTGAGTTGGGGTCTTGTCGGAGCTTGAGTCGTCTTCCCAATTATTCTCATCGTCGTGGTCGTGGACTTGACCCCAAATCCAGCACCCGGCACAGTAATCTTCGCCATTCGGATGATTGTGGAGATGTCGTTGGTAGGCCATGCTTGGGGTGAGGATCTGCTGGTATTCGCCGTCGAGCTGTACAGAAGTTTGTGATCAAAAGATGTCCTGTCTGTTCACGATGGAGGTCGTGGGTTGCGTCTCATGTAGCCAGAGGCACACAAGGACTGGAGCAGACGTACCTCTGAGCTTGAAGTTGCGTTCAATTTCTCAGCGGTTTTCTGAGGCGAATTCCCGCGAGGTTTGGAGAGAAGACCGTGAAAGGTCTGCGCAAGTCGAAGGGAATTCATTGTTGCTAAAGTGAACCTGTTAACACGTCGCCGACTAAGCGATGATGTCGTTAACACATTTGGCAGACCTCTCGGCAGGACACACGCATCGACTTCTTCAGAAAGGTCTGTCAACGTCGATGTCACTCTTCTCGCAGTCGACCACCTTCAGATTGTGTCTTCAAGATTGTATCTTCAGATGCCCGAGCCTTGCTCCACTCTTGCGATAAACCATCTGCTGGGAAGTCCAACAGTCTGGATTCACGTTCTCTCCGAGATGGTCAACTACTGGCAAAAGGTGTCTTGCTCACGAGATGTCTCAAATCATGTTGCAGGAAGACAACAAGGCGACTCGCCCTGCTTTCCTCTCTAGGATGTTCTCTTCTAAAGGACGATTCTACCGCACCACTATGCCGCCAAGCGCTACTGTCAACAGCAAAAACCCTAGCACCGTGTTGAAAACATTCATCTCAGTGTTCAACTCATCTCAAATTTGCAGGATCACTCTCAAGGACAGACTGAGACAGATCATCATCCAAGGCGCGACAAAGGCCTGGAATCCATCATCCTCCTCCATCAGCCCACGCAACCTATTCAAACAAACCTTCAAGCCTACCGATCCAGCTTCACGTCTCTCCTCTCACGAATATCACACTTCTCTACCCGGCACCCATTCACTGCTCTCAGTGGAGGTATCCTTGTCAGCATTCCTCTCAGACTCACCAACCTCGCCAGCGACAGACACTCAATCAAGCACATCAACCTACGCAGAGACCTCTAAATCACAGGCCGACATGTGCTTCAAATACAAGTGCGACGCCTGCAAGAAGGCGAATTACAACTTCTGCGAGGACTACCTCCAGAACGAGGAGGACCGCAAGTGGTGCAACGTTGCGGTGGAGAACCCCTGGGGCAGCATGCTCAAACGCTGCCATTCCTGCGCCACGGTCATCGGCGCCATAAAGGAGCTGAAGGCGCTCGTGTTCCGGGAGCCATGGCTCCTGACTGAGGGCATGGCGGGCGCGCCAGAGAAGGCCGCCTGGGAGAAGGAGGAAGAGGAGGAAGCCGCCGGGGGTCTTGCCGTTGTCGATACTGACGACGACGACACCCCCGACGGCTATACAAAGGAGGAACGGGACCGGATTCGGTGGGAGGCCGAAGAGGCCGTCATGCGTCGCTGGGGGCTGATGAAGGCGGAGCAGGCCGCAGAGGAGGAAGCCAACAAGGCTGAATAGAGAAGAAGCCTGCCAGCGAGCATGATGGCTGACTCGGCCGGGGAGAGTTCATGTGCTGTTTGTGTACGAAGCTTGGGGGGAGCAAGTGTTGGATCGAGCGAGCGAGCGCTCTGTAGCCATCGGCTACTGAATAAGAGATAGAGTTTTCACATCCTGTTTTTATCCTCGACTTCTTTTCCCCATTCTTTGAGCACCCGGAGCATCTTGGTTACATCGCCGTCGACTACATGATGGCAGTGGATGCAGCCATGCCTGCAAGACACCGATTCTGGTTTTAAGTGAACACCCTCGTCATTGAGCCATCGGCCCACGAGCAACCCCCCCCCC